TAGCCCCTGCGCTGATACGCTCCCGTCGAAATTTGTTTGCGAGACCGGGGTTCGCGGCTGTATTGGGATGGTAGTGCCGCTCCATTAATTGACTCTTCCTCGTCCCGGGGTCCAATGTAGACGTAATTAGTGACCAAACCATTTGGACCTGGAGTAAACCTCTGATATCCAGCAGGGGGCACCCGCGGTGACGGATAACGCATACGCTCTGAGCCACCGTCATTGCCGTCAAAGGAGGCCTGGCTTTCATTATCATCCCCCGTTGAAATATAGGTCTCCTTGGCCGGTACACCATAGATCTGGAATAGAGATGGACTGTATCGCCTGTCAGGGCTGCACTGTCTGGGAGTTCGGCTAACTGCTGGTGTTGTTGGGGTGTGAGTGCGCTTCGTGGGATTATAGGAGTGGAACTCTTCAACTCTCTGCGGAGAATTACGACTCTGAGAAACACTCATTTCTGAAAAGCTTTTATTAATCCATTCGTTAGTATCTTGGTCACGTTTTGAGGTGGTTGACATGTTGACCGAAGGAGCATCTTCTTTGGGAGACTCGTCTTCATCCTCGAGTATCTTCACATTCCCATTCCCCATCTGAACTGCCTTGACAAATTTTTCAGCTGCAGCGGAATCCTTGAGACCCATGACAATGTAATAGCCACGTTGGTCCTTTTCATAGTGCACAAATACGATGCGCCCGTCATTGGCAGAGCGAGAAAGGAGTTTGAAGTTTGAGAACGCCAACTTCTTCTTTTTCCTCTGTTTTTCGCCACCAGCTACTTTGTCTTTAAAGACAATCCTATTGCCATAGACTTTGGAGGCCGTCGGTTTGGGTCTTTTGTCTTTCTTCTTTGACTGAGATAGCTTTTCAATTTCCTGTGCCGTAAATGTCGTGCCCTTTCCAACTTGGCCTGTAGCGATGACGTTGACCTCGGTCTCAAATTTAAACTTTTTATCTTCAGGATTCTTTGGCATGATGCTCGACGAACAAAACTCGAATGACTACTGTGCGCCTGCGTCCTGAGTTTATAAGAGTCAGAATTGACGGGGGTGACGAGCTTGACAAATTGTTTTCAAGGGCAGGTCTGTAGGTGTGCGATTTAGCCAATAATACGAGCAAACCACCGAGGAGTAGAGCGATACCGTGGACCAACCAGATCTTGTAAAAGGCCTACAGGTAAAAGCACGTGTTTGAGTAGGATAGGTGCTGAGTGTGATCCGAAATGTCGTACTTTCAAGATAATCACACTTTAAGACGCAGAATCCATTGATTTACCACAACAAATGTAGTAATGGCAGCAGGCTCAGAATGAGTTCCAGAAAAGCTAAATTGCTAATCTTTTCACAAAGTAAAGTCCGTAGGTTGAAGTAAAGCCGAGGAGACAGTGAATGTCAGTCATCTTCTGACACCCTTTTTTGGTAAAACCTGAAAGAGTACGAAGATCTGGGTACACTGCCAGGCAGGGAGAGTAGATACGAACATTCGAAGCTAAGGACGATCCTTAATCTGCTGCATACAATAATTAAATGATGCTGCGATAAACAGAAGAGACCAGTTAAAAATCAAGAACGAAATAAAGCACTTTTATGAGCCTTATCTACAGACCCGCTGGCCGTTGGTTACCAAAATTGGGTCCCGGCAGCGTCGGTAATATATTTGCTTCAACTATCTTAATAAGATATGCATTTTGAGTTCTTTGACAATTACTGCTCACCGCTGGTGCTCCATGGTTTTTAGTAATTTATTTATATTTAGCGCAGGTGGTAAGTGGAATGAATAAGCCTTAGGAAAGTTAGCTCGAACTATTTTGTTTTTTAAGAAAACTTTAAGAAATGGCATATGATATGGTTCGCTGGCTAAAATATGTGTTTACGCAGAGAGTGCTTGCGTAGCACACTGCTGTCATTGAGAGGAATTAAAAAACAGTTTAGTACATGCTGTGGTAAACCTCATAAATGTTTTTTCGATATCAGAGTGCAGATAGCTCTTGAGTGCTTAGTTAAAGTACTTGTTCATACT